AGGACGGGCACCAAGCCATTTTTGAGGGATCCACCCAAAGAGGCCCCACATTCTACCCTGAGGATCAAATTTCAACATGAGATTTGGAGGGGACTAACATCCAAACCTTACCAATGATGTTCTATTTGTAATAAATCTTCCAGGAATTCATTGGCCTTTTTGAATCTGGATGTCTAAATTGCTGGGAAGACTAGGAAATTTTCCTCCATCGTTCCCTCAAATAGGTTTTCCCTGCTTTTTGCTTATTCTCCCTTAGGGATACTTATGATTCTTATGTTTGGGTATTTTACATAATCTCCAATTTCTCATAGCCTTTGTTTATTTCTCTTGATTTTTTTCTCTCTTTTTATTTTCTTCTTATTTTTGTCTGACTGGGTTACATTAAAAGCCTTGTCTTCAAGCTGTGACATTCTTTCTTCCGCTTGGTCTAGATCTCTTGTTAAAACTTTCCGTTGTATTTTGTAATCCCCTAACTGACACTTTCATTTTCAGAAGTTCTGTTAAGCTTTCGGTAAATATGTATCTTTTAAATAAATTTTTCATTCATCTTCTATTTTTTTTATTTTGTGTGTACCACATGTGTGTTGGTTTTCAACTTTCTTGTCAATCCCATTACACTTAATTGTAATTCATATTTTGAATTCTACATATGACATTTTCAAAAATTTCATTTTGGTTTGGAGTCCATTACTGGAAAGCAAACATGGTCCCTTCGGGGGATTAAAAAATATATATAAATGGCCAGGGTTCTTATGCTGGTTCCTTCTCATCTAGAACTCCTTCCCTCAGATCAATACAGATAGGTTTGTGGTTTTTCTGTTCTCCTCTGCCAGGAGCTTAGCTGGTCAGTGTAGAGAGAGAGAAAGAGGTACACTGCTTTGGGTTCATGCAGGTAGGTACCCACTGTGATGTTCCTGGCAACTTGGGTTGGTTGGCCCTCAAAGCCCTGGGACAGTGTTCAAATGGCAGTGGTGGTAGACTAGATTAGCTAATCTTCAGTCTGCTGACCCCTGGGTGGTGTGCTGTGTCTTACGAGAATAGACTGAGACCAGACTGACAAACTTGCCCTCAAGCCTCCTTGAGTTCAACCATTTGCTGTGACAGTGAAGGGAGGGGGATGACTTGCTCTGGACGAATGCTCAGGTGGGAAGAAAAGGGGATACATTGTGAGAGCTTTAAACGGGGGGGATGGTCCCTTTATATAAGATTAACAAAGGCAGGCAGCTGGGGTGACACAAGTCACTCATCTATCTCCCTCAGCAGCAGTACTGGTTGTCCTTTGGGGCCACAAAAACTCCTAGATTCCCAGCTCCCACCCTGGCCCAGCTGTGGCAGAGGTGGTAGAGGCAGCTGGACAGGCCTTGTGTAGGGCTAGCAGACTGGCTGTGGTTGTGGCTGAAATGTGGGCAAGTGTGATTGTGCCAGGTTCTGTCCTCCAGGGAGGGTAGGCTCCTCCCTGAAGAGACAGGCAGCTTGCGGAGAGGACCCCTAGCCCCACCCTCCCTGAGAGGGGCAGGATATGTTTGTCCTAATGGCACAAGAAAGTGCTTGCTATAGTTTTTTAGAGAGGACAGAGTGAACTCTATGATCTGTGGAAAGCTGTGTGTGACAGACGCTCAGACAGAGGTTGGGCAGCTGTTCCCTGGTGTAATCATCCCCTGTGGAACCCTCACTCATCCTGCACTTATAAGCTGGGGCTGCCTCGGCAGGAGTGGGTGGGGGACAGGAGGAGGAAGAGAAGTCTCTAATGGTGGGGAGCCAACCCCCTGGTCCCCTTTGTCCTGAGGGGCCCTCTGATTTGTTGAACTCTCCTCTCATATGTAAGCAGCCTGCTCTGAATACCCAAAGTACAGAACACCCACAGTTCCCCCAAGATACCCCAGTCTTTCAAGGCTGCTACAATCCAAATGGGTGCTGGGGATCACTGGCTGCAGATCCAGTGATGTTGAGACCCAGGGGATGAGATTACCAGATTGAGTCAGCTGCAAAAAGTGCTGTCTGTCCATGAAGAGAGGGAAATGAGCCTCATTCTCTGTGTAGAACCAGGGTGTGGTGAGCTGAGCGGGGATGCAGCCCAGCTGCAAGCCTAGAATTGGCCATTCTACAGCATTCCTACTCCAAAAGCTCATACTTGGAGCATAGGCGGCAATGTCCACAGCGTTGGGTGGTTGGAGGAGGGAAGGTCACCATCTCTGTGGCCAGTGCTGCAGTGGTACTTCTGCTCTGGGGTGAGGACACTCTCTTACCCTATGGACTCTCCTTTGCATTTGTTTCTCCACTGGGAGGGTGTAGACAACTTTGGATCATAGGCCCAGGGGCTCCCTGGTGCAGAGGCATGAATGTTCCTCCTTCCTCTGTCCTAAAACCATATTTGTGGTACTTCCGAGTTCCCCTGGGGCAGTCTATCCTGTGGGTCAGAACTCCAGGAATATTGCTGCTCTCCTGTGTGGTTGTCTTGGTCCAAGCTGAAGCTGTGGAATGTGACAGGGATCCAGTTAGTGACTGTGGGTTAGAAGCACCTGCCGTGTACACAGGCAGCATGGTGCCTGCCATCTCAGCTCAGATCTGTGGTAGGAGGAGCTGACCCTGCAGGGACCCATTGTCTAATGCTCTGCTCCCTGGAAGCTCTCAGTTTGTCGGTGGCAGCAGTGCCTGGAATTTTCCAGGTAGGAATGTTCTCCAGCAGATTGGGTGCTGGCAGACTGCCACAGATGTGAGGTCAGGAAAAGTGAACACTCCCACCTACCCTTTTCAGTAGACTCTTGAATTCCTCAGAGGTCACTCTCTTCCCAAATCTTGCTCCTTCTTATTCTGCTCCACAAAATTTTTTTCCTGTGGAATCTTCAGTGGGGTAATTTCTGGCACTTTTCCTGTGTTAGTTTGCCTGGCTATGCTACTTTTATTTGGGGGATGATCTAGAAACTGAGGTCTCTAGTTGCCCTTCTTGCTCTCTCTCCCTGCGTCTTCTTTCTACTGCCCCCACTGCTCTTTACCTAGTTTCCAGTAAAAAATAAAAGCTCAGACCCAAATGCTTTTATTATCCAGGAACCTCCTGAAGGAGCTAGTACAGGTGGGGAGCATTGTAAATGTAATTCAGCCCAGATGAGGAAAGGACTCATTTGTAAGTCCTAACTGCCATGCACCGCAGCGCTAACAGGATATTGTTTGCTTTGTTGGCTGCATGGGAGCGCTGTCTCTGGGATATCCGTTTGAACGCTGGATGCACATGGCTTCCATTTCTCTTGGGGTAAAATTCAAAATCCTTTATCTGGCCTGCAGACCTCCACCTTGTTTGGAGCTTCCTTCCTCCACAACCCCATCTCACTCCCTCCAGCTTCCTCTCTGCACTACATTCAGGGAAGCTGTTTTTCTTGATTCCTCCGTGAGTCCTGGTTGCTGCCTACCTTGGGGCTTTTGTAGTTACTGTTTGCTTCACCTACATTCTCATCAACTTAGGGATGAGCATTCTCAGAGGAGCCTACTTTGATCCCCGTAATCTGGTGTGTCCCCTAGATGTATACTATTGTCATACACCTCCTTTTCTTCCACAAAACTCACTCCTATCACTTAACCTGTGACAGTGACAATGGTCAGCTATGTAGCTAACCTACATGCAGAACTTTTTATAGCTGTTAAGGGTATTTATGACACTTATGTGTAATTTTTTTTTTGTATCTTTGGAATTAACATTTACCAGTAATTTATCATGTGTAACTACTAATAACCAGCTATATGATGTGTACTAATCAGATGTAAACTTACAATTTTTTGTGACAGAAAATACCAAGATTATCACATATTCTATCAACCACAGGATCTTCATGTATTCCAATTTATTGGACTTTCACTGATTTCTTTCTGACGGATTTGCTGCCTCTGCTTAGCATGTGTACCTAGTGTGGTTGAAAAGAGTTTATCATTGTGGCCAGTGTGATAATACTGAATCTGTGAGGCTTCTTATTTGCTCAAATCATCATTATCTTTCCTGCTTGCTGTCTTCACCTACGAGCAACCATAGGGCACATGACAGATGTATGAAGAATGGTGTGGCTAGGGCTGTTGTTTTATCATAGGTTTTTATTCTACAGAACTATTACATAAGCTGCATTTTTCCCCCTGCAGGTGTGAAATCCAGGCGATTGAAGAGAATGCATTTCAGAACCTAAACCACCTTTCCACCTTGATATTAACAGGAAACCCTCTCCGGAGTTTAGCCCTAGGAGCCTTTTCTGGACTACCAAGTTTACAGAAGCTGGTGGCTGTGGAAACAAACCTCGCCTCTCTTGAGGACCTTCCCATTGGACATCTCGAAAGCTTGAAGGAGCTTAATGTGGCTCACAATCTTATCCATTCTTTCAAGTTGCCTGAGTATTTTTCCAATCTACTCAATCTGGAGCGCTTGGACCTTTCCAATAACCACATTCAAAATATTTCTCATAAAGACTTGCAGGTCCTACATCGAGTGCCTTCACGCAACCTCTCTTTAGACTTGTCCCTAAACCCTATAGACTTTATTCAACCTGGTTCCTTTAAAGGAATTAGGCTCCGTGAACTGACTTTGAGAAGTAATTTTGATAGCCTGAGTGTAATGAAAACTTGTATCCAAAATCTGGCTGGTTTAGAGGTCCATAGGTTGGTTTTGGGAGAATTTAAAAATGAAAGGTACATAAAAGATATTGACCAATCTGCCCTGGAGGGACTGTGCAATTTGACCATTGAAGAATTTCGGTTAGCATACTTAGATGACAGCCTACAAGGTGCTGAATTACTTCATTGTTTAGAAAATGTTTCTGCAATTTCCCTGGTGAGTTTAGATTTATCTCATCTAAAAAGCCTTTGTAATAATTTCAAATGGAAATCTCTAGAATTAATTGACTGTAAATTTGAACAATTTCCCATATTGGAGCTATTTTCTCTCAAAAGGTTTATTTTCACTGCCAATAGAGGTGGGAACACATTTATAAAAGTCAAACTACCAGACCTTGAGTATCTAGATCTCAGTAAAAATGGCTTGAGTTATACAGGTTGCTGTTCTCACACTGATTTGGGGACAACCAGACTGACGCATTTAGATATGAGCTTCAATGGTATTATTACCATGACTTCAAACTTCCTGGGCTTAGAACAACTAAAACATCTGGATTTCCAGCATTCCAGTTTGAAGCAGATGAGTGATTTCTCAGTGTTCCTACCACTCAGAAACCTCCTTTACCTTGACCTTTCTTATACTCACACCCAAGTTGCCTTCCATGGGATCTTTGATGGGTTGGTCAGTCTTCAAGTCTTAAAAATGGCTGGCAATTCTTTTCAAGACAACATCCTTCCAGATGTCTTCAAAGAAATGACTAATTTGACCTTCCTGGACCTCTCTGACTGTCAACTGGAACAGGTGTCCCAGAAAGCATTTAATACACTCTCCAGGCTTCAGTTACTAAACATGAGCCACAACAATCTAGTTTCATTGGATGTACTTCCTTATAAGCCTCTCCAGTCCCTCCAGGTTCTGGACTTCAGCTTCAACCGCATAGTGGCTCTCCGAAAGCAAGAACTACAGGATTTTCCAAGGAGCCTAGCTTTCTTAAATCTTACTCAGAATGAGTTTGTTTGTGTTTGTGAACACCAGAGTTTCCTGCAGTGGGTCAAGGACCAGAGGCAGCTCTTGGTGAAAGCTGAGAATATGGTATGTGCAATGCCTTTAGATATGAAGGGCATGTCTGTGCTGAGTTTTAGGAACACCACCTGTCAGATGAACAAAACCGTAATCAGTGTGTCAGTGGTCATTGTCCTTATGGTATCCGTTGTAGTAGTTCTGGTCTATAAGTTCTATTTTCACCTGATGCTGCTTGCTGGATGCAAAAAATATGGTACAGGTGAAAGCACCTATGATGCCTTTGTTATCTACTCAAGCCAGGATGAGGACTGGGTGAGGAATGAGCTAGTAAAGAATTTAGAAGAAGGGGTGCCCCACTTTCAGCTCTGCCTTCACTACAGAGACTTTATTCCCGGTGTGGCCATTGCTGCCAACATCATCCAGGAGGGTTTCCACAAAAGCCGCAAGGTCATTGTGGTGGTGTCCAAGCACTTTATCCAGAGCCGCTGGTGCATCTTTGAGTATGAGATTGCTCAGACCTGGCAGTTTCTGAGCAGCCGAGCTGGTATCATCTTCATCGTCCTGCAGAAAGTGGAGAAGTCGCTGCTCCGGCAGCAGGTGGATCTGTACTGCCTTCTCAACAGGAACACCTACCTGGAGTGGGAGGACAATGCCCTGGGGAGGCACATCTTCTGGAGACGACTCAGAAAAGCCCTGCTGGATGGTAAACCATGGAGTCCTGAAGCGGCAGCAGGTGAAGAGTGCAACTAGCAGGAAGCAACAACTTCTTTTTTTTTTGAGACAGAGCCTCAAGCTGTCCTCTTGGGCATCACAGCTCACAGCAACCTCCAACTCCTGGGCTCAAGCGAATCTCCTGCCTCAGCCTCCCAAGTAGCTGGAACCACAGGCACCCACCACAACGCCTGGCTATTTTTTGGTTGCAGCCATCATTGTTGTTTGGCGGGCTCGGGCTGGATTCGAACCCACCACCGTAGGTGTATGTGGCTGGCACCTTAGCCACTTGAGCCACAGGCGCCGAGCAGGAAGCAACAACTTCTACCAGAAAAGAAGAAAACTGAGGCGCCCCTTGCCCAGCTGGACTCAGGGCTTGTTTAGTTAAAGCAGTACTAAATTCTGCAGGGAGCCAGGCATTATGCTAAAGGCAAGTGATTCAGTGGCATATGAGATACACAGGATTGCTAATCTCATGGAATTTATAGTACAGTGCAGAAGGAATAAATTCTGGGATAAAATGCAGAGCCTTCCAGGTGGACATTTCAACCAGGTCAGCCAAGGAGTCCATGACAGAAAAAGTCCCCTTAGCTCTTATGCCATCAAATTGAATAAGAACTGAAGAGATTGGGCCTCAGTAAAAGCAGAAAGGGACA